CCCACTAGCTCTTTGTCTTGTGCCCATTCGCTCAGAGCCTTACCTCCACATACACCTGCTTCATTAGCAGCCTGCATGTAACCACTGCAAAGCAGCCTCCCTTGCAAACAATGGGAGGAGGCTCATTCCTCAATAAGATGTGTGATGTGACATTTCCACAGACAACAGCACCCGAGAATGTGAGCTTGTATTCAGCAGGACAGATGGTGTATGGGTACGCATTCTATCCCCACTAAAGATTACGACAAATGAGTTAAAGAAGTCCACAAAAGTACCCTTGCTTGCCCTTGACCAATCCAGCTGCTCTGTCAAGAAGTTTTTTTCTTGAAAATACAAAACATCAGCTGCAAAATGTCATGGTATGACAAATTCAATTTTAATATGCTGAAGGATTCAGAGTGAAACAAATTCAACTTTCCTCAATAAACAACAGTATATGAGCCCTGTGAGTATGGATGATGTAACTTGATGTGTTATATCCCTAAAGGAGATAAATTTCCCCTCTCAATAAATAACCTTTTACAGTTTGGCTCACAGGACTCAAAAGCATAATTGCACAATCCTACAGTCCAGACTGTTTACCAGGGCTGGCCAAACAGCATTTTACAGGCTTCAATTACTCACTGATATTTCTAAATAAGTGCTTGATAACTCATTCTCAAAATCACCCTAATGTAACCATTAATAACGTTTGAAGCGTTTTTAGTCGTCCATCTCATTGGAACAGATAAGCTTCCATTCTAATAAGTGTTTCAATTCACACCGGCTGTGCGAGATGTGCATCTTGTGGCCTTCAAAATCTGTGTTTTTTTTTCATTTGTGGTTCAATAAAGCGGAAACTTCATAAAGATCTAATTAAATCACACATTCCCACTTTCTATAGCTTTCTAGACTAGACTTTAAATAATCATGAAATTTTAGTTGATGATTTACTGCCACATAAATAACTGCTATTAACAATTTGATTGCCTATTTAATTCACTGTATATAGATTTTAAGGTATAAACCTAAAGTGGCCTAATTGACTGATCAGCTATTTCACTCTCTTGCTATCAATACCTAGTGGCTCGCAACTGATGACAGAAACAGTTGAATCTCAAACATACATTACTTGCTGCTGCCTTCTGAAGGTGTTGTTGAGAAAAGCATCAAATTAACAAACATTACTAAACACTTCTCTCTAAAGGCACCAAGTTGTACAATAAGTAGAACTTTTGTTGTTTGTGTAAGACCTGTGACATGTCTCAATAATTGCATTGTCATTTATTTTACTTGAAAATGCACAAACAATTCACATTTTGTTTGTTGCAACATGTACATATGATTGTGGAAGCTAACAACTGTGAAAATAACCGCAATCAGTTCAAATAATTGTGATCAACCAAATATGTATTAATTGTGACAGGCCTGTTCTAAACCGTCTAAAACAATGATTTAATTGAATGTGATCATCTTGTTACAGAGCAGCTCCTGCACTGTACTAACAATGTATGGAAGCTACATGTACAAGCTACACGTCCCACACATTACTTCTTAAGCTGCTTTCTCACTGAATGCAGTATGCGCTGTGCTAGCTGCTCTTGTTGGTGGCAAGCTGCTTTTACACCACTTGTAGTATGAGCACTGCTTGTTGATTGGGTGCGAAAGTGGGCGGCGCTCTCCAATAAAACTAACCTTTCGGATAGCGTTAGGAACTTCCAGACATTTTCCATGTTAGGTAAGCAGCTTTAGGTGTCCGATTCTTTTTCCTTCAGTAGCCACATGGAAAACGTTGCAGTTTGTTGTACTCTGGGCGTTGTGACGTGGATGCCTGGCTTGAATTTATGATGTGATTATATTAACAGTAATGCTTCTATTTCAAGGCCTTTGCAGATGAAATTTATTTTAGGGTATGATTTTCGTTGCCTAAAAAGATAATGCTTCCGAGAAACAATTACAAACATAATGAGCTAATACACAAGTATTTTATTATTTGGGCAATCCCTGCTGTTCACTATTCAAAATACCTCCTCCACACAAAAACACTACTCTTTACTATAAAAATAAAATTAAATCAGTCTTTTAAAACAGTGAGCGAAGGAGCTGTCTGTAACACATTTTTACAGACATAATGTGCTGACTCTATAAAACTGCAATGTCACAAAAGCAGATAAAAAGCCCAGTACATTTCAAGTCTCACACAACACTGGCACAGCCTTCGCACTGCCTCACCGTTCCATTTGAGCTCTTTTAATTATCTTCATGGGTTTTAATTATTTTCAAAATTCAAACTATTCGTCTTAATGATGTGCTTCATTCTCCTCATTATGGCGGACAATTTCTGCATCACTGCATGAATAAGATTATGAAAGCGTCTACAGCTACGGCAAGGAGGAGCGTGAAAGAATAAAATGTCCTTCAGAAGAGAAATAAATGACAGGTGCATCTTGTGATCACTCTGCAGTTCAGAGCTGTTATGGGGAATCGTAATTGTCTATAATTGCATTTTATCAGACTATCTGGTGGAAAGGATGCTTACTTTATGTTTTAAATAAGTCAGCCAGTCTTGCAGCAGGAAAAACGTGGAAGGTAATTACCCTTTTCTTCTCATTTTCTATCAATGAAACGCTCTCATTTATCAGTGTTTAGGGAAACTACAGTCATTATACGGTAATAAACTAATTATAAAATAATTAAAAAAATAATAAAATTTGATTCAGTTAATTAAGAAAGCAAAGCTTGGAGGCAGGTAACATTAGTCTTCAAGAGAGTATATTAGTGAAAGAGACGTGATAAACTGTTATAGCATCTACAAACAACTCATTTCAGATGTTCACAGCTTCAGCCAACCACACAAAAAAGGGGAAAAAAGGCCATGGCGCAAACAGCAACACCACACATTATAAACGGATTACTCCTTCGAACTCAGGCAGAAGAGAATAACATAAGTCAGGATCTGAGTGTCAGAGATCTTAATGAGATAGGACTCTGAGATTACAATGGAAAATGTCCCACCCAGCAATGGACACACACCCCTGTTGCTTGACAGCTTGCTAAATGGAAGCCATTTTGTTAACTGAAAATCAATAACTTCCTCAGACGGATCACGACTGTTTGTCAAGTTGCTCAGGCAAGCCGAACTATAGGCTGTGTTTCCCAACAGACTGTAGCTGAGTGCAAAGTGCTATCAGCAACACAGCACTGCTCTCTAGAGAAATAACACATGAAGTCTGTGAGAAAATGTATGACTGACCAACTGACTGACTGACTGTGTGAGAAATAACTGCTTTTCTAGGGCAGATCATTAGCCCATTATCCATATTTGAACGTCCATATTTGAAATTTGAAATTTCCTTTCATCCATATGTTCTCTGAGCTAGCTTATGCACAAATTGGAAGACATTTCTCAAATCAATCAAACCACATGGCCAATAAGTGAGATTTTATCATGTGTCATGTGACTACTGATTTTTAGCAAAAGAATAGAAAAATCCAAATTTGATTGTGAATTCAAGTATATAATCAAAAAACTCATGCATACTGTTAAATATTCATCCAACGTACAAAAAAATGTATAAAGAATTTCTTTTTTAGACAATTAGGACACATTTGGTGTCATTTTTCCTTTTCATACTAAATTTAGTTGGCGGACATGAATGTGTTAATTAGGCCTAAAGTAACTAGAGCCGGGCACACTCACAGAGAAAAATCTCAATATTTCTGTAGATGGAGACTCATAAGGTCTTAAATCTGTTCCTATTTCAAGTTCAGTTTTGTTTATCACGGGATCACCTTTCCAGCACTGGATCCTCAAACACAGCCCCCTCACTGTAACCCAGTTATTCTTCTGCAAGCTGGATAGAGCGCTTTAAAACTCAGTGTTCGCCAATAAAACATCTTTCAGTTTCACTTATATGAAGCGGGCTTCACACACAGGACCCAGCAGCTGATAAATGAAAGAACAGCAGCCCAACAGAAGCTCTTTTCCAGCCACACTGCGTCATTTGGTTTAGGGCGCTCACCGTGTGCTGCGTAACTTTTAAGTGTGTGTGTGTTTTTTTCCCCACCCGTATTGCCACAATACCCGCCCACGAGCGCTAGGATTGGCTGGACGTTTAGCTTGTGAGTACGAAGCATTAGCCAATCCGAGCGAAGCTCTGCTTATGAATATGACTACAAGACAATCGTAGCTAGCGAGGGCGGGGCCTGCCGGAATGCAGGTGGGGAAAAAAATAACGCAGAGCGAGAATCTCAGCCAGTCCTCTCGTACGGCGATAGCAGTAATGTGCTGTTCTGTAGCGCATCAGGCGGAACTGTAACATTTAGCTACGGAGGACACACGAAAACGAGAGTCTGCAATTTACTTTGGATAACGTGTAACTTTATCTAAATAAAGTTATATTTAAGTATGAGGTATTTTACATAATTAAAGTTAAATAAGTGTAAATATATGCGTTCCATTTAGAAATGTAGTCTTGTTATCTGCGCATTACAACCGTGAAAAGATGCACAAGGTCTGGCTCCCGGAATCAATTTACTACAATGAATCACATGAACCAGTTTATTCAGAGGACAGAAATAAAGCAGGTCCGCCTAGACAATGAAACTAAACACCCTAATGCAATATAACACTGCGTTAAAACTACGCTGGTACCTCGAGGGGGAAGGAAAGTCAGTTCTTACAGACTTAACAGTTTACCACCTCGCCTGTGAAGTGACTGGGAGCAGGTCTAAGTGGATTTGAGGTGGATTTTAATACATGTCTAAGCCAAATCCAGACGTGTTTTCTGAGGTAACACATTTAAACAGCACACGATTTTAGCCATGAGAGAGTCACGTCTTCGTCCTCTAACCAGACCGTCCCCAAACATTCCCACGCTAAAAAAGTTCGTAAACAATTTCAGGGGGAAGAAGCTCAACCCCAAAACATTTAGCCGTTAGAGGATGTCAGCCGTGCCCTTCCCGCCAAACACAGGAAGAACTTTTCTGAAAGTGCTCAGGTAGAGAAACGGCACTTTTACCTGTTGGTCCCTCGACGCTGTCGGCGCGAATCTGAACAGCCAGAAGCAGAAGAATGGCGCAGGTATTCATGTTACGCTTTTAGTCCAGTCTGGGGAAAACAGACGGGGATCATGTCAGTGGCTCCAGGTCTGTAGGTTATGGACTCCAAGTCCATCGGTCCCCGAAATCCCGGGCGAAGCGGAGTTGAGAGAGCAGAGAAGTGAGAGAGAGAAGCTGCGAGCCGTGCGGACTGACGTCAGGGTAAACAGTTCAAAACGGGATTAGGATTTTTTTTTTCTTTCCCAGGCAGACTTTCTGGTGTTGTTGGACGTGGGTGCAGAGTTAAGTGTGTGATGGACGCCCCCATGCGGTGCAATGCGGGATTTAAGCGTGTGCGTGTAGACCCCACACTGCAACATTCACATGCAGCAGTTAGAAAGAACACATCCACTGGCACTGCTGTGGAGTGCTCTCATATACGAAGTATGTGAAAATCTAGTGATTCAGGTGGAGTGCATGGAGAAATATGGCATTTGCTATGCTGTATGCCAGACACTGCTTCTAATGAGTGAATTCAGTTACCTTAAGGTGCTCCCATTCCTGACACAGGTGTTCAATTGCTTGCACACAGCTTGTGTAATGTGCCTAAGATCACCATGTCCAATGCCAGCTGTTGGCTAGAGGGGTATAAAGCTCCCAGCACTGAGCTGTCGAGCATTTGAACTGCACTCTCTGGAGTGATGGGGCTCCATTTATTATGTTCAGGATGAGTTAAAGCGGTGTTTGTGATCCAGAACTAATCGTCCAACATCAGTGGCCTACCTGACCTCACTAATGGTCTTGTGGCTGAATGCCACCCAGTGAAACACTGAAGTGTCTACAAAATTCTGGATGTATGTAACAGCAGACCTGAATTCGTTTGAAGTTAATTGAGGAGCTGGTAGTCTTTCTGTAACTGAGCTGTAGGTTCTCCTAGGGACTAAAAAAAAACGATGCAGGCTTTCTCCAGATTGAAAGTGAGGGCTGGTTTGCAGTGATTTCGTAATAGCACACAATCCCCAGCTCTGAGTGTACACCAGCAGTGTTTATTTAAGCCCAGCTAGACGTAAATGAGGAGCTGGGAGGAAGCAGGTGTGGTCTTTCTGAAACTGGGCTCCAAGTGTCCTGGGGACTAGAGGAACCGCTCTAGGAGACATTCTCTAAAAGTGAGAGCTCATTTGTAGTGATTTTACAACAGCACAAACGCACAGCAAAATCCCCAGCGCTGAATGAACACCTGCAGAACAGCCCTTTATGTAAGCCCAGCTAGACACAAATGAATGCTGTATGACTTAATATAACACTGTTTCAACACTGGGGATTTTGCTGTGTGATTTGTTAACTTGTCCAGGCTGCTGATGCATGTACTTTTTCATCTGTTTTTTTTAGCATCAGGCATATTATCAGGTACCTTAAGACTTATTATTCAGTAAGTGCTATGAATAATATGGTAGCTGCTATTAAACTGCATACTCAAGTTATGCAGTGATGACAGGGAGCTGACTGTTGAAGTGTGCCCACACATAGGCCCTTAGAGTTTAGAAGTAAATATCGTTTTATTGATATAATGTAGTACTGCAGGCCACTGTGTATCGTTGCTGTCTGAACTACGTCTTATTTTCCTACGTCTTATATTCCAAGATTCAGAAGAAAGAAAAAAGCATTCTATATTTTTCATTTTTATATTTGCCTAATGTATATTTTGGAATTTTGATCATTTATACTGGTCCATTCATCATGAAATATTCACTCAATGTAATAGGTAGATGGTGTTTTTTTAAATGGTGTACAATTAAACATGGAAAAAAGTATTAGAAGTGTTTTGTCGAGCAGCAGCAATTTACAACCATGACCATCCACAATCAACTACCAGCTTCTTATATGCTTTATTCTATGTTACTTGAAAATGTGATGCAAGCAAAGAGTGTATTTAATATCACTTCAAAATCATCTCATACTTTGACTCTATACAGTGCTATTCACAGCTGTCTTATGAGATGGTGCACCATTTCCTGAGCACCTGAGCGGACCTCTGTCCAGAAGGTCTTTGGCCTTGGAAACAATAGGATTTAGTCAGCCAGCTCTGGAACTCAGACCTGCAGCATCACGTTATCTTAGCAGGCCCACAGGTTGTCTGGATTTGAGTTAATCTTTTTAGGACATGGCAAAAGAGAGTCTGCTTATTGATTCATGAACAGCAGCAGCAGCAAAAGGTTAGAGTTGGAGCCCAGCTCAGCTCAGACACCTATTGTACAGCCATGTCCTACAGCCAGGAGGGATGGCAGTTGCAGATAGTCCAACACTAATCCATTCACATTTCTCATATCAATTTAATTTTACACAATGGCTTAGAGTTGGACTTTTTTCCCCCACATTCATCCCCCCGGCTTGACCTATTTTCACAGCTGCGATTCCAATGGAAGAGTTTTAAGGTGAGTACCATGATGCTCACATGCTCAGTATGACTCAAATCCTAATCATAAAAGATTAGTTCAGGCTAATGACAAACACACACACACACATGCACACCTGTCTACATCCGGATGACAGCTCTGACAAACAAGGACTAAAGGAACAGACACAGCTTGAACATCAAATTGGATGTGTTTTGGGGTTTGCTGCTTGCTGGGCTTTGTGAGTCATCTGCCACTAGAGCAGTCTGCAGTGTTAAAGCATAGGTCAACCAAGTTGCTGACATGAAGGAAGCCAAGGACGTTTTTCCGCTGTTCTGATTCTGTGAAGCCCAGAGCAGATTCAGATCTCCACACATCATGACAACAGTGGTAGTCAGTAATTAAGCAGGTACTTTTTCAAGTGTTTGAACTCTATTAATGGGGCAATATCTAACATTATTCATTTTACTTATCTGCAGTTTTTGCCCCCTGAGATCCGCTTTTAATATTTGTGTGGAATTTTGTTTGTCATTTCACATGATCATTTTCCAACAACCGTTTATTCCTTGGAAATGAATAAGACTTTAAGACTGATCTATGTAAATGACTTCTGTTCTGATTGGCTGCCCTTGTGCCTCATTCAAAAAGCAGTGAAACACTCCTAACGTCAATGTGAACAGACAGGGCTAAACCAATGTAGGCTGAAGAAGTTGATTTTTGTGACATCACAAACACAATGAATTTGAAATGGCCTGTTTCTGGAGCTTATTATATGTATATATATATATATATATATATATATATATATATATATATATATACATATATATATATATACATACATATAGATATGATCTATTTAAAGCCAAGGCATTAATTAAGCTAAAAAAATACAAATCATCATTCATAGGGTACTGTCTATTGGGAGTGAACTATTATAATTTTATGTGTGTACAACTGCTGAGTTGGGTTTGTTAGTCATGTACTGCCCAGCATTTTAGAGTAGGGTCACTACAGAAACAGTCACTACCGAGACATTTGGTAAAGTTTTAGAAGCGTTGTTATTGTTTTGACAGTAACAAAATGGAATAAAATAAGTATAATTTAAGGTATAGGCTCATTTAAAGCAGAAGGATTTTAGTCTAAGGATCAAGTCCAAAATGTGTTTTGAACTATGCCTTTGAACCAAGTCAGTAGAATGCTCAATATAAATATCATGCACTTTGAAACTTAAGCAAACCAATCACAGCATAGCACCGTGTTTCTTTACCTGGGTCCTGGAGGCCCAGTGCCCTGCACTATTTAGTGTTTTTCCTGCTTTAAAATAGCCACCATAACTCTGTTAAGAAGCTAATTAATTGGATCAGGTGTGCTGGAAGCAGAGAAAACACTAAAAGGTACAGGGCAGTGGGCCTCCAGAGTGAAAAAACACTCGCATAGCTCACCTTTTGATTGGCTGATTTGTTTGACCTGTTGCACCCATACAGAAGGTAGCTACAGCCATACATCTGTAACTTTAAGCATTAGTAAACAGGAAAGTTTGCCAACTGTTTGCTAACTCAACTCAAAAATAATATCACTGTAATACTGTGATCACTATTGTGTACTTAAAAGCAAGTACTTCTGTACTTTAACTCAAGCAGAAATACAAATAGAGGACTTCTTCTTTACACAAGCAATATTGTACAAATGATATCTCTGCTTGAACTCAAGTACAGAGTTTGTCTTTTGACCACCACTGCAGAACAACAATGTAGAGACATACCCAATCTATTTGCACAGTTATCCAAACGTGAACTATATATGTTTACAATGCACGTTTTATGCTTGAGCAGTAGAGTTGCGGAGCAGCACACTTTTATGCTGACGCTGCACTGTTATCCAAACATATGATCTCAGGGGGGCACGGAGCAGAGGCGCAGAACAGAAGATTTCACAGCAGCCAACATTTCCTCTGACAGCCAATTCAATCGTCACTTTTGTGGGGCACCATGCTGTGGTTCATCATTTGTTTAGGTTCCTCATGTGACCACTGGAGTGTCGGGATTGGATTAAATTGAGAGAGAGAGACAGATGCACTCTCTTGCAGAAACACATTTGAGCCCTGCTATGGGAATCCCTATTACACATTAACTTATTTAGCCACACATGACAAATGAGTGATGGATCACACTCTTATTTTATTCAATTTAGAAAGGGCAAAGATTGTGCTGAGCAGCCATCCTACTCCAATCCAATATTTCATGAGTGTGTGTGAAAAAACAAGTGCATGGTAACTGATTATACTCAGTACTCTGTAAGAGGCTTCTAAAACTACATGCTTGGATGTGCAGTTTCACTGTTTGGACTTATCCAAAACTATAGTGAGCGCTTGTGATATGAGCACAGATGTGTTAAAGGAACAGTTTCACAAAAATTAAATTTAGTCAGTAGTTCCATTCACCCCAAATGTAATTGATCAGCCAAGACGTTTTTTGGTGTCTGAAGTTTGTCTCTTTAATTTTGCACTGAAGCTACAAGCTTAATGTAGCTAGCAAGTAATGGAAGCTTATAGCCACTCATTAGCATTGTGGAAACTGCCTAAATCATCACACTTGCCTCAAACCACAATGAGTTATTAAGTAATTTCAATATAGGCTTGCTTATGTTAGTATCCTAACACTGTATGACAAAAAGTAGACCAAACTACTGACAAATCCAGTCCTCAAGACTTCAAGACTACTGTTATTAGCCATGTAGCATATTTTTTATAGTATTATATTGATATAATAGCAGGTTGAATCTCCATTTTGGTCATTTTTTCATTTTAACTTCCATTGACAGTTAAGAACTCATTTTTTCACCTGCACTCAAAAGAAAAAAACTTATATGAAGTTAATTCAGTTGTGCCAGACCTGGCACTATACAGGCTTTGTTACCTCATTATAAGGTTTAAATTAAATTTAAATTTAACACTTCAGTGCAATTTATTCAGGTTTCATTGTAATGAAATTCTCATTGGATCAACATAAACAGTTTTCATTAAATGAAATGTACTATTATTATTTTGTCCATTTAATGTAAACTAGTTTCTTAAAGACAACACAATTTATTTATTTAATCTTGACATACAGTTTGTAAGTCAAATAACCCCATTGGTTAATTTTTTTCAAGTTACCATTTTGGAGATGCAAGGCTTTATTCAACAGTGACTGTATAAAAATCCATAGAAAAGCATTTTCAGTATTACGTGACACTACACTTTTTTAATAGCCTCGGTGCTCGTCTGGTCTGTTTAGTATGTTACATGTCAAACATGTGTGCACTCACCTGGGTAAATTCCTTGTAACATACTTGATTTACTTGGCAAAATGAAGTGATTCTGATTCTGGAGTAGCTGCACATGAGCTTATGCCCAGTGCTCAGCCTTGGGCTGTGAAGCAGTTGAACTGCGTGCTCTGAAGTGATGGAGCACCATCCAATACCTCTGGGAGGAGTTGGATTTTTATTTGTGAGCCAGAACTACAAGAACATCTAGTGCAGTTATCACCACCCCTGGTCTAGGAGATTTACCTTACTGCAGAGTCTAGTTCCAACCACAATCAGCTCCCACTGCTCCAGCTAATTCACTTCTTTAGAAGTCCTTGATTGGCTGGATCCGAAGCATTAGTTTTAGGTACGGGGGAAGCAGCATGTTAAATGCAGGTTGGAACTAAACTCTGGAGGAAAGTAGGTCTCCAGGAGGAGGATTGGTGACCACTGATCTAGTGTAGTACTTTCGTAGAAGAGTAGAGTCTATTCTTGCAGCAAAGAGGGGACAAATGCCTGTCAATTCCCTTGATTTCTGTGGAAACATTAGATAAGCATGCATCTAGAACATATAGTGTATACACTGCATGCAAAATGATTTAGGCATGCAGTTTCCACAATACTAATTGACAAGCTAGATTAGCCTATTAGCTCCAGTCTCAAAATTTAAAAAGCAAACTTCAGACACCAAACAGGGCTTGGCACATTTGGGCTAAAGGGGGAAATTATGTGAATTAATTTTTTTGCTGAACTGGTCCTTTAGGAGAAACTAATACTAAAACAATACTAGACAAGGTCACGTACAAGCATCCAAAATTTGCATGTTACTTATTAGAAAATAGCATATATCTATGTATATAACAGACGAGCGCAGAGAGTTCATGTGTTTTCACCAGCTCCCACTGCCTCCTTCTAATGCACCATCACCACCTAGAGGCTTGAATGTAGACTTAGATGTGTCCAGAATAATGAAAAGAGCTGTAAATGATTCTGAAATGACTCTGAAAGCCATATAGCATCAAGAATAAAGTTATGATGAAATTAATATCCAGAAGGCCTTGTTTTAAAAAAGGTATTGATCAAGTCAGGCAGAAAACCTGACAAACATTACTGTGTAATTTAAGTAAAATGTGATTATTTAATACATTTATGTTGACTCCACAATACTCAAAATATTGAATACAACATCTAAAAATACCACTTTGTGCGAGTGTTTAATATTTAACTCTACAGTATGTTATTGTTGTATATAAAATAACAAAACATGGTCATATGTGATTCAAAACGTTTGAGCAGTAGTGCACATCCCTAGTGTAACATACAGTTTTGAGTAGGAGGAAGAAGGAAATAAAAGCAAAGGTACATAAAGCACAGCATTCAGTTTAATGGCTGAAACAAAAAGGTGCTGTTCCATAAAGTAGAGTTTCTTCGTAAGGTGACATCACACAAAAACTCTAGCAGTGCCACAGGAACAGAGGAGGGATCCCACTTGAACAGACATGACAGTACCACCCTGCCATTTAAATTGTTTTACTAATCGAGAAACTAAATTTCAAGCACCAATAATCACCGTTTCCTGTGTTAAACTATAACCGCTAACACTGATTTTTCTGAAAACTTCCTTTTTTAACACATTACAGGTCAGCTAGCAGGAAATTTTAATGATAACAGTTCAGTAATTATCATTTGAGTTACAAAAACAGTGCTCAAGTCAGTTTGTGATTGTCATTTTTGATACACTGAAAGTGTATGAGGTATTTTTAGCACCTGTTAGATGCATCAGATATTAGAGTAGACTTTAAATACAACAAACATACATGTCACCTCATCTTAAGCTAATCAGGGTTACAAATCCATCATGTCTATTTACAGAAACACTACATCAATCACTATACAAATCAGTATATGATAATTACCATATAATCACATTTAAGTGAATGTTACATGTGCAGTTGTACATGACAGAATGTCAAAGTCATAAATAGAGAGATTATAAAAATAGGTTCCCTAAGAGAAAGGAAAGATTCTGACAAACAGAATGATATTCACTTTCTCCTTCCTGGTTACTGGCAGAATTATTGCATATTATAAACACTGTATTAGGTTGGTCAGCTAAAACCTGACATTTGTGCAAAAAAGCATAAAGTATTGCCAAAATTCAAATAAATCAATCCATAGGTGTTTCTGACCCTCCTTCCACTGTGAGAAGACAACATTATGTGTCTAAAAGGATGTGTAGGTGTCAAGGAGCCATTATTGAGAAAAGAAAAGACAAAAAAAAGAATAAAATTTGCACCAGAACACTAGAGTTTGCATGTTCTCCCTGTGTCTGCGTGGGTTTCCTCCCACATGCAGTCAGGTCAATTGGACATGCTAAATTGCCCCAAGTGTGTGTGAATGTGTATGTCTGCCCTGGGATGGACTGGCGACCTGTCCAGGGTGTATCCTGCCTTGTGTGTGTGTGGATCATGAGAAGCAGACAAATACCACCAACTTCTACACCTGAATTTTGGAGGTATGAAATAAATCCCTGCAGGTTTCTTTGAGAAACTGAAACAAAGTCCCTTAAAAAGAATGGAAGCTGAAAAGGTAAGTAAGGTGGACACACTAAATACTGAAACATATTAAGTTGTGAAATTTTCTGTTAAATACATTTTTCTTCTTTTTTTCCCTGATGCTGTGAAATTAATGACTTGGACGTAATGGCCACGTTGACATGAAATTAAATAATAGAAGGGTAGTTTCTGACTTTTAAACTGGACTACATGTTGCTTTTTTAGTTTATATAGTATGTCATATATCATTTCATTTTTTTCTCCATCATTTGAGCACAACAACTGCCCTTTATAATGTGTGAAAATTCCATGATGAATAGACCAATAGAAATTTTACTTAGAATCAAATATTTAACTTACATTAAAAGTTAAAAACATTTTTGTCTTCTCATGTAAAGTTACTACTTTGGAGATACATTATTTTGTTAGGATAGCAATGATATATGACCAGCCAAGATATCACATAATATCTCCACTGCCCATGTTTAGTAAGCCTCGAAGAATTTTAGCACTTAAACATTAACAGCTTAAACATTAACATCTTCAGTGTCTATTTTACATAGAATAATTTGCATGATGACAGGACAGCCAACCTCGAATCAGCACTCCCTTGTATTTTAATGAAAAGCGTATGGTCATCCAACTGCATTCTCTCTCTCCTTTTTCCATCTACAGTATCTCTCTATAAAAGAAACGTGGTATCCACTCTCACATCCCTCGCTTTTTGCACGGCTTCACCTAACCGCTCCTGCTCTGTCTTCCCTTTCCCTTTCCCGGTCTAGTCTCCAGTTCACTTATCTAACACAGACCTTCTCTCCTCCTCTTCTCCCTCCCTCTCCCCTCTCTGTCCTGGGCTCAGGTCAAGCACCTCCACTGTGGGAGTTCTGTCCTCAAGACCTGCACTGAGCACTGTGATCCCGCTGGGGGGTGCTACAGCCATGGCCTCTGTGCCGGTGTGGTGAGGGAGCAGCTGGGTGTCAGTGGGCAGCTGGGCCAGCATGGCCACAGGCAGACCAGTGATGGTCAGAGGTTGGCTGGTTGATGTCAGAGTGATGGGAGAGAGGATGGTGAATGGTGATGCGGAAGAGGTCAACAGGCTGGTGGAGCGGGGCCGCTGCAGCCTGGGCCGTTTGGATATAGGAACCATCATTTTCTGTTTATCCAGCTGGTCAGCAAAAACTTTTGGGGGAGGGGCGAGAGAGGTAGAACAGTTTACATGAGTATCAGAAACAGTTACACTACACCACTCTGAAACTATGGCTCAGACCAAGAAGTGATGCTTTTAGTAGTTTTACTTCATGTTATTCATAGCTTTTATCTCACCTTTGAGTGTGGTATGCATCTGATGCTGGTTTTCGTCAGTCTTGTTTCGCTGCAGGTCCAAGACTTGTCTCACAGAATCCAGCAGCCCAAACATCTCCGTCAGTGTGTTCAGAAGCACTGCATCTAGTACACACATACGCACCATACTATAGTCCACACTAAAATGCAGATGCCAATATATAGCATGTCTATCTCTTGTACATAGATTTCCTTTACTTTGTACATATATATATATATATATATATATATATATATACTTATAGAGAGAGAGAGAGAGAGAAAGAGAAAGAGAGACAGAGAGAGAGAGAGAGAGAGAAAGAGAGTGGGGGAGGTCCAAAAGTCTGAGACCACTAGCGAACATGCTTCTATTTTGCATTCTTTTTTAATACTAAATTTTTTTAAAAAGTTTGTTACAAATTACAACTAATTAGTGTTACAATTTCAGTGAAAAGTAGAATCTTTGAAATATTTATATGAATTTCAAAATTGCTGAATATTTGGAATATCCCCCTTTTGCTTTAATGACAGTGCATTCAAGCTGAGGTGGACTCCAGTTTGTATAAAAGGTTGTATAAACGCCTCTGAAAAGCAGATCAAACTCACCTGGGAGTCATTGAATATGTGTTTCAATGGAAGAGATGAGACTAAACAAAAAAGTCTAACCTATTTATACAAAGGCCTCGACATTGTCAGTGTCACAATCCTAAAAGTTGTGCATAATTTCTAATTTTATATATATATATATATATATATATAGTACTGTGCAAAAGTCATTGACATTGTTTATCTTGGCAACAAGTGTGTTTTTGCTTTGCTCATAAAACTTCATATATCATTACAATGCAAATTAAGTTTAATTTACATTCAATATCACAGGTGCGAGTTGGCACTTCTGCGTTTTTTGCTTTTGTTACAATATATGCAACAACAATTATTCATCAACTTAAAATTTCATGAAATATCTGCTTAAAAAATAATCAAATATTATTCCTGTAAAAGGGTTAAACATTCTTCTTACAGTCAAATGTGGTACCAGCTGAAAGTTCATTCTTGACAGAAATGTTCTGCTTGTTCCTATGAGCAATCACTGGGACTTCTAAGGTTAATACAAGCTCATTTCCAACTTCTGTTAAACAGCATTCCACTTGCTCACAATAAAGGCCTAACTACAGCACATTCCGACCACCCTGTGAGGCTGTCTGGTACATTCAAAGGTGATGAGATTTACGTGTATTTTTAGTCTCTGAAATTACACTTTGACAAATGATTCTGAACAATTTTTACACAGTGATCAATTTTGACACTGCATATACACAAAGCCTGTGATCGAATGTATTCTGAAAGCAAAACCTTCCCAGCCGAGTCCTCACCTGCCTCCTGCAGAGTTGCCTGCTCACTGCGCCGCTCCACTCCCCTCAGCATGGCCAGCAGCTCTAAGCGGATAGTGGACACTACCTCCCCCATCAGCCCCAACTCAGCAATGCCCTTCCACAGACTCAGAGTTTCATCTGCAGCAATAATACATATGATATAAACCTGCAATAATTTTTTTGGTTTAAAAATGTATTTATTGATTTATTTTTATGCCAAACTGACCAGATATGTCCTCTGTATCCATTCTGACCTCTCCATTGTTTGTAGTGGGGGTCATCTGTGGTGGGCAGGAGTCAACCACATCACTGAATGTTTCCTCAGGCCTCTCCTCTGCACTGCTCTCCTGTCCCATGACTACACACAGCACATAAGCCACACCATACTGGTCCTTGTTCATAGGATGTATAAACATATAGTCCCTCTCAAGTGATATTTATGATGCTCCTACAGCTAAAATTGCTTTCTTTAGTCAGAAAGTCTGGTGGGTTTCATCATTCAACATCGTGGCCAAAAATCACCTACTTTGAACAGCAAACCATCCAACTACAGATTGCTGTTTTTGCACATGTGGGGGCAGATGAAACCTGCATGAAGTGGTATGCTTGTTGACAAATGTGAGCATATATCCACACAGTACAGCTAAGTGAATAAAACATGCTTACATGTGAGAACATTCTTCAATCCATCAACTTTGACTAACCCCCAAAAGCTTTACTGTTATGATGATGTGCACAGCAGGCAAGTGCCTGCAAAACTCCCCATCAAACTGATAAAGAAATGGTGCGTGGAAGTGGATATATGCAAGTGCAAACAGCCCTTTAGAGTGTAACTGACAAAATTCTGATCAGAGATTTTCTAACAGTTGTGGTGATCTTACACTCTAAAAAGTGGAATGGGGCACATATTCATTTGAAGTGTTTTTGAGGTTGGAATTGATGTAAAAACATCTTTGCAAGTAAAATTGAAAAGTATTTATAAATACAACCCTTTTGGCTAAACATCTACCGTCTGTCCAGAGTTTTCTGACTTATTTATTATGATCTCCTATTCAAATTGTGTTAAACATAATTGGTTAATAAGAAAAGACAGATGAAAGTAATACGATGACAAAGAAATTTACTTCCAATAAACTAAAAATTGTAACCTGAAATTGTAACATGAAAATATCTACATGATGTTTCAGCTGATAAAATGCAGTGTGGATAAATGCCAATCATGACTTCATTGTGGATGAGATGAAGAAACAGACCAAATAGCTGTGGACATCCTTAATCTCGATTATTCGTGGCCAGCAAGACAGTTTTAGTACACTTTGGACAACACGTCTTTCTTCATCTCATTGCGGGCCAAATCCATGCCAGACTGATAACCAATGTTGCCTTAGGACTCATAAACAGCTGTGTTTATAATAATCAATAACATAGAGTAAACAGAAGCGTGTATCATTTAATCTAACTTAGTGCACCTAATCAAAATTGTATTATTTCTCGAGCCAGGTCTATTGATTCATTTAATCAGTGTTAGAATTTTGAGAATATCTATTATTTATGTGGTCAATAGGCTTAGGCCACTTCTCTTCTAGAGGAGAAAATAACAAGCACTTCAGTTCTGCAGTATGATGATTTTATTCATTCTGGTTTATGGGGTATCATTTCAGATGACCTTTTTCTCAAGTCTTACCCAGCATGCCTCTGCACATACAGTGCTGCAGCCCTTATTGGCAAAGTCAGTGCGCTGTGGCATGAAATACCACATACAACTCCCTAACAATTTCTTTGTGGATCAGAGCCAACAACAGCCTACCTCTCACTCTATGAGCTACTGTCCTACACCAGACATGTTTAAGTTCATTTGTAAGTCGAACCTACTGAAAAACAGGTTGCAATGTGAGTTTCCCAATGCTCCAGAAACCTATATCTGTTCCGTGTATTGAGAGTATGGCTGTGTACCTGGCAGAGGGGAGCAGGTCTGCAGCACACTGGGGGCTAGTCGTGTGCTGTTGATCAGCAGGTCAAGCTTGGTGCTGCGGCATGAGTTGGTGCACACAGTCTCGTGCTGGTAAAAGTCAATCTGACCTGAGTCCATCATCTTTCTGCAGGAAACAGACAAAAGAGATCCCAGAAAGTGGATGATTTTAGTCCTATAAAAATTCAAATGCCAGAGCAGTTGAATACAAATCACATTCTGCGTGTTGAGCAGATGAGTCACGCTGTCAAGTCATGAACTGAATCACATCAGATAGATAACACATACGCTAGATGCCAGAATAAGGATGGATGAACATCTTTAGCAGACTGTCACAAGAGAGGAAAATAAGGAAAACCTGAAAACCTGATTTGCACCATATTTTAGGAATATGAAAAGAAAAGGAATCAGACAAATTACCTCTACATTGCTATGGGAAATCTTTGAGTTTCCCAAAAGCATCATGACCTTAAATGTAACCCTAAGAGCAGTTTCTCTCTACCTCCTTATAATGATAATAATCTTAGCAGTTGGCTGCAACTGCACAGTCTGGTTGGCTGAAGCACGCTCATCCCATCTTTTTATATCAGATGCAGCACAGTTTTTTTCACCACACCTGTATCATTCCACTAACCACTGCTGATGAGTAACTACAATAGTGGCTTTTAGGGATGCATAATGATATCCGAATCACGGTATACTTCACTTTTGCCATAAAATACTTTTTTTTTGTTTGAAGAATATCATCACAGATGTTTAGATTTGACCAATATTTGATGGTGTAGTTATTGCACTCTGGAACAGCAGAATGTTTAGTTGATGCTGGGTTACTGTGCTAAAATATCTGTGAATTTATTGCATTTATAACCCACTACAAATAAAGGATACATTTCTCTGAAATGCAAAGTGGCTTTAGCCTTCGTTTCTACATTTTATAAATGTTTATGTATCAGCATTGTACCATATTTCATTGGAGTTATATTATTTAAGCTGAAATCACTGAGAAAAACTTATTTAATTTACCCATTATTTTAGATCTTAAGACCACTGTTGTATCTTTGAGGGTACATTTACACTGTTCGTACCTTGATACATGAAAAATGTACCAGCAGAGTATCTTCTGATAGTGCACATTTCACTAACATTTGAGGCTTCTTTACTGTTATTTTTTGTTTACTGGTGTACAAAAGGTATAAAACACTAGAGGTTGTGTGTTGTTGCAAATAATATCACAGCTATGATGATCTACAAAATCACATCCATGATGTTTTTCACAATAACTGATTCCCCACTGTTTTCTGTTGCTTACCGTGAATAATTTGAGAAACTAATTTTGGGAGGCTCAATGATTATGTCCTGGTAAAGAGCAGTCAAAGAGAGGGAGTGTGTAGAAGAGTAAAGAGAGCAGGCGCACCTGAGCATCACTCCTCCAAGCCTGATGGCTCGCTTCCAGTCCTTGAGCGTGGCTTTGCCAGCCAGGTGCACAAACTGCTTGGGGCTAATAAGCTGATCATTGAACTAGACAGCAGAGAGAGGGAAAGAGAGAAAGAGCTGTAGTTCAGTGTCCAAACACACTTTGCAAGTCTGGGAAAAGTGCCACACAGTGTGAATTGTAAAAATGTTTGGTTCATTAAACCTCAGCTGTTGAAAATGAAAAAGAACGTCCAATTACAAATATAAGATAACAATACACTACCACCATTTTCAGATGATTAACTTTTAAATGTGCTGTTACATTAAATTCTGTGTGTTGACAAAGTTTTAGAAAGACACAAGCACTGAAACTTTCTCATTCTTTTCTTGCTCAGTTGCTCTCTGGATCTGGAGTTTTGGATGAACAGCTTAATGATTATTATGCATATGAGAAAGCGAACCTTAACACATTTGACATTGATTCCTGGACATACAAACTTCTTGAACAGAAGCACTGCTTTGCTGTCACCACAGGTGATTGGATAGCCATATTCAACCTCCTCTCCCTCTGAGTTGTCCTCTTTGAGAAAAATGCAATACAATTACAAATTAATTACAAAGGTAGGATAATACATCAATTATATGCATATGCATCTATAGGAAGTATTAAAATATTTAATAAGACAGAGTCCTCTCTTAACTGTGCTGAGGATAATGTCATACCTTGTTGAGACTCTACAGCCAAGAGTGTTGTACTTGTTTCTCCAATATCTTCATGTGTCCTATAGACGACAGCAAAGGTGAATAACATGTTATGAATAACTGCTGCATTTTCCTAATTCTAACCAGATTCAATTTTCTACAGGCTGTGCAAAGGTCTTAAGCAGATATGAAAACTGTTTACAACTACATATCTCTGCAGTATGTTTTTCGTCTGTAAAAACATCATATAACACTAGAATAACAACAAATGAACTTAAATACAGTAAACAGTGACACAAATTTCTTGTTTTCAGTACAGTTATTAATATCTTGTTTAGAAAAAAAGGTGTTGCTAACTTATCAGTGCACTCTACTCATTGCATCATGCATCAGCAGCACACCTGATAATGAAGGATTGATTAGCTGAACCAGGTATTGGATGGTAACTGTAAATACTGGGATTCCTTGAAAAACCATGTTTTTCCTGTTGAACAAATGAGCAGGTAGTGCCTAGATAAATGGTTTTAAATACCACCCTATTAATAATCTCTGCCTTAGAGCACATTAACACAGACATCAAAATGGTTATAGAATAAATATAGGTAATAAATATAAATAATGTAGAGATTTTTGTGCAAGTGCAAAATATAAGAAGTATACATTAAAAACATAATGTACACATAAGTAAAACAAAAGAAAGTATAGCATAAATATAAAAACATTTTGTTTGATGTAAATCTTACCCTTGGGAGATGGACTGGAGATGCAAGATGAGCTGAGCCTTGTGATTGTTATTGTGACCCCCTTCCTCCCCCTTCACCATCACTATTTCCTCCAGTGACATTATGAACATAAGGCCCAACACTGGGGTCACTTACAACACTATAGGAAAAAAAACACTCCTTTAATACCTTAAAACCTTTAAAAGCCTAATGTATCACTGAATTTTTCAAAATAATATTATTACATGTGTTACAAAATACATCAGATTTTGTTGAACATTCTCCCTGATAAATGCTTTTCTACAGATTGGGTGTAAGCTCTTTATATTCACCCCATGCACAGGGGCGCAAATATGATTTAAGAAGTGGGGCTCAAGTGACCAAGGCTGTAGCCCACATACAGCAAAAAAATAAAAATGAAAAAGATAAACAAAGTAGCCCTTCAGCTACACGTATCTAGAATGTCGACATTAAAACACAAAAACAATATTATATTGTTAACAGAAACATCATACATATTCAGCACAGAGATTTATCTGCATGTTATTGTAAATATTTTAGCAAAATACCCCAATGACACTAAAAATGATGATAATTAATAAGAAACAGGAAGGACTGTAAATAACTGTTACAGCATGTAAGTCAACAATCACAGTACAGTAAAGAAGTAATGACTCCACAGTATAGTAATGACTCCAGGGCAGGTAACATACTTTTTTCCAACCACCATCCCTCAACCTCCCTTGTGGTATTTTCCAGACAGCAAGCATATATGGGTCTGCTAGCCTGATAAGGTCTCTACCTGCTGGCTGCATGCCACTGCTGGTCCCCCCTTGGACCACCCAGATTACTGTCCTGCATACAAGGCCTAACTAGTTTTTAACCTCCTCAAACAGACTTTTAATTCACATAGCCTTTTATTTTGGAAAATATACTGAGACAAATTTTACAAACTGTTGAGAGACTAGGCCAAATGATTTTGTTGAAAATGTTGCTGACCCTGTGCTAGATCAGCTGTATAACCGGTATTATGTATGTAATTACTGTTAAATTATTTACTAAAATATTTTACAAAGGATAATGAAAAAAAAAGAAATGAAGGTAAAATTAGTAAATTGGACTGTGAGTGGACAATGAGCGCTGAAAAGTGTCACTTTATAATATTCTGTTTAATATTCTAATAAGTATAATATTCTGCTTAACCAACAGTGGCCCGCCATGGGGTGCTATAAAACAAAAAGATATTTACTTACATTTAATAAAAAATGTATGAAAACACGAATAACCCCATATAAAGTCTCCCTTTTAGACTGAATATAAAACGTGAGATTCTCACTTCATAGTGGGCGCCTTTTTCAGGTTTGGAAAACAGGAGCTGAGCTGGAGAGCGGGCTGCTGTGGGGATTGTAGTCCACACAGCTCAGAAACCTGTTTACTGACGGAGTGACCTGCCCTCCGTCCCGCAGCTACAGACAGAGGTTAGCGGTGCTGAACTTTCTGCTGGAGTGTGTACACGCCCTGTCTTCTGCTCCTTCACTCTCACCTCACAGCGCCATCGCAGCTTTTTTCCGTTTTTGATTTTTTCTCCTCTCAGGACGCTGCACGCGATCTGGCGCTCGTGCGTGTAAGCGCGCCGCTCTCTTTCTTCGCGCGCGGATCGCTCCGCAGCACTGAGACCGCACTTCGGACACAAAACGAGACCGGAAACAAACACTTGCCAATAAAAAGTCGTGTTTTCTTACCTTTTTTCTTCTTTTTTCTTTTCTTTTCTACCGTCCCGGGCGCATCGTTAGTTGGTCCGGCGCAGTGCGCGTGCGCCGTACCGCCTCGCTCCACTTCCTGCGAGGAGGCAGCTGGAGCGCTGGCACGAGGAGCGGCGCCTCGCACGCGATCTGCACATACCGCTCACACGAGCTCAGCCTGCCCGCGCCACAGCACAGAGTAACCCAGCAGAGACACCCGCGCGCACATGGGATCACAATTCCCGCTCGCGCACGAAGAAGCTTACAAAATAATCAATGACAACAATTCATGCACAGCGTGGACTGAGAGGCAGAACTGCTGATCACAAACATCGTGTAACATTAAGTTTTCATGCAGAATTTGTTCGGGTTTGTATGCAGAGTGAAGCATGTAAACTATTTTTTCTGTGCATAGAAATGCATGTGAAACCTACTGAAAATGAGACACAGCATGTTGAAGACCAGACAATGTGGTGAGTCTACAGGCAGAACCGTTGTACCTGTTTCAGTAATGTCTTTATTTGTCCTATAGAGTTCGCCAAAGCGAATAACCCAATCATGACGATTTCTCTTCATCCTGATCAGATCCAGTTTCTTCAGGTCAGCGTGTCGACTTCAAAACCACCTGCAATTAACTGCTTTATAGCTTGCATTAAAACATTTCAACCCAAACAGTAAATTAATTAAATGATTACAGCAGTGCCTTCTACCTCGTACCTGTGAATTTGCTATAAATATTATTCTCTTCAGATTTTTAGCTTTTAACTAAGGACTAGCAAAACCATAAACAGTAAATCCACCAACACTATCGATTGTCTAAAACCTATTATTTTTAGCTAAATTATATTAATTTAACATTGCTTGTGGTCATAATCTTTCTTTGTTTCCTGCTGGTCTTTGCTTCCTCAGCGCATTTGATGTTCGGGTTGTATTTCACGCATTTCACCGCAGGGTGGCAGTAGATCCACGTGCATCTGTGTTTTACTTAGTTCTCCAGGCACGACAGCTGCACAGAAAATAAAATAGCCTGTTCTTGTTAATGTGTGTTTCTACATGCGGCTCCTTGTGGACAGTAAGACTGTTTCGTATTCGTTAATCTTCAAAAGAAAAATACAGTTCGCAAGAAGAGAAGAGACGCTGTTGGAGAGTAATGATAACAATAATAATAATGATAGAACGATGTTTTTGATCCTGGATGTGATTCCGTCCGAGAACATTCCGCTGGATTTCCACTCAGTGTCGATACTCATGTTTTAAGACTTATGGAACAGTTCATTTAATTAAACGTCTTAGTCCTACAATCTTATTATCACATTAAATGAAGACGGTTTGCCATGAAGTTCTTAGGAAAGCTGTTGTTTTCAGATTGAAGCCAGCCCTTTTTTGGGGATGTGTGATAATTGGCACAAGCTGAAGCCAATGAGAGACAGGGAGGCTAGTTTAGCCACGCCCAAAACACGGTCCCCTGTCTCTTGTACAGTTTAACGTGGAGCACAGCTGTGGAACAGCCTCAAGGAGTTTGGTTAGGCCTGTTACACTGACATTTACCCATGGATACCAGAACATACGCATCGGAGTGAAGATAATCTGAAGAAATCATGCGGGCGATAGCAGGAGGCAGCTGGGGTGCCGTCAGCTTGTTTTCTGGGGTTTGGTGTATTTTCAGCCTTGAGACGTTGCTGGTGCACGGTCAGGAAGGTAAGACTGATCACCAAATACGATATCTGTCTATCGAAAAGCTTCTCACTGATGCATTAAGATAATCTGGCGAGATGAGATCTTAGTTCTTTAAGCTTTAGTGCCAAACGCAATAAGGTAAACTTTAGTGCCAATACAGAGAGATTAACTTTAGTGAGCACTAACTGAGACAAAAACCAACCCCGAACTATTTTTACAACTATTTTCGTCCCCTTTCTTTGCTTTATTACTCTGTTCTATTAATGAACAATGCAGTTTAATTGCCAGTATCATGCAGCCCAAAAGTTCTTTGGAGAAACTTTCAGTTTCCTAAACAACATTTCAGTGGTTGATTCTTTAAACCATTTTTTGCATGATATGTGAATAACTGAAAGCAAAGAACCTTTTTAAAGGTTAAAGAATCTCCACACTCCGGTTGATGAATCTTACACCCAAGTTAAGAACGTTAAAGAAACTTTATTTTCAAGATAAAGATTGCTTTATTTCTGAAATCATGTGAAATCATACTGTTTTCTATGGCATTGATGTTTAATGAACTTATTTATTTATTTATTTATTTCTTTATTTAGTAGTTTAACGAGTAACACATGTTGTGATGGGTTGGCGAAATAATTAACAAAACCCATTATATTAAATGGAAGAATAGAGGACAATGTCCTTTTTCTGAGTGGCCTGTAAAATGTATATAGTGAAATGGCCAAATATCTGATGATATAAATGAGATATTGTTTTAATTTGAAGTTTTATGCAGTTGAAGTAACACTAAAGTTAATATGTCATCGCTGTTAGAACAAAACTTTGTATCTGTGAAACAGTAACTTTACAGGAGAAGGATAAAACTTTCCTAGCTTTCAAAGTAAGTTAATGCAATAAGATTGTTTTACCATTAATTTTGGACCATTTCTGTTGCTCCATTCATCATGCAGTTTTCACATAATATAAAGCACAGCAGGAGTTGTATATTATGTAAAAAGATAAAAAATGACAAATACGGAGATACAAGGTTTTGTTCCATCAGCGATGATGTCCAGAGTGCAGCTGCTGGTTGCTCCTGTTCACTGTTACAATTCAGATAAGTGAGAGAAGAAGAAACACAAAAGCTGATCAGCCACAGAAACATCCTATCAGTGTGGACTGGCTGAGCCATAGATCTCGTCTGTGTTTACTCTCTTTCTTACACACACGCGCACACACAGACACACACACACACACATGCTCCAGTTTGGACATTTGGCTTGTCAACATTTCTCAATATGCGTGGGGTTGAGCGTGAATCACTGTGACCACAGACTGAGGAGACACCACAGGATAAACACACTCACATACTCTCTGTGGACTCTGGATTCCAGCAGCATCACTGGGGAGGCTGACTGATGCTGGGGTCATTACTTTATGTGAATCATTTGTTTTAACTTGCTAAACAGATATAGGGAGTCATGGGAGTGAAGAAATCCAAAGAGCAGGACTAAAGAGCTGTTTCTAAACCTCAGCACATTTACTGTCATTATATGATTGACAGCAGAGTATTAGAGGGGTGACAACCTGAACAGCTGAACATCCTGTTGGGCCAAAGCTCAGGCCTGCAAGGACATGCCTACAAAACCCTAAGGTGAAAATAAAATTACATGTTGCCTTGAACTGTGTAAGTGATGACCAGCTGAAATCTGTCTGAATGTCTGAATGACTTCTTGTGCAGAAATTTTGCGAAAATCGGCTATCCACATTCAGTAATGTCAGAGATCATCCTTCATTTATTTGATTTCGAGTCACAATAGCAAGTACAAGTTATTCAGTTTTCAGAAGATTATTTATAAGATATTCCACTTGCATAAGAAAGGGGGAACTCAAAGGGAATTTTATTAAAAAGTGTAGAGAAAATGAGACTCCTAACAACACTGCAAGACTTGGAAGAACACCAAAACACTGTAAAGCTCTCATCTTTGAGAGACAGGAGAAAATCTAGCTCTCAGATCTGAAAAAATCCACAGGTGTTTCTGTTTAGCCTTCCACTGTGAGAAGACAACTCAACAATGTTTGGCTGTCAAGAACTGAGAAAAGGGAAAAGAAAGACAATTTGAGATAAAACACTGAAACTAGGCATCTGATGTTTTGGAGTAAGTTTTATAGACTGATGAGTCAAAGTTTGTATGTACAATTAATTGACTCATGAGAAGCAACAAATGCAAAATGCAACCAACTTTTTTCAACTTTTGAAGATGTGGAAAAACACCTTTCTTTGATTGACTGAAAGCAAGTCTCCTGAAAAAATGAGCGCTGTAATAAAGACAAAGTGTGGACACACTACTGTAAAAAGAAAATTGTTAAATGCATATTTTCTTGCTTTTTCCGGATGCTGAAAAATAAATAACTTGTACTTCATTGCTATGTTGCCTGGGAATTAACTGGGAATTAAATACATTTCTGACTTTTGCACAGTACTGTTCATCTGTACTGTCCTGAAATGTTGTTGACAGTATTGTTAGACTGTTTCTCAACTCTACAACCTTTTGTTTCAGTGATGTTATGTCTGTTTTTGCTACATGTAAACACTAGAATGTTTGTGATGTTTAACAGTAAGCCAGGCTTTTCTGTAAGACGGGCTGGATAGCGTCACAAAATGGAACACACCCAAAGGTCTCTCTGCATGACTGGCCCTCAAAGTGATTATGGCAGGAAGTTCAAGTCCTGGTTATTTCCAGTTACTGGGGCATAGAAGTCCACATAATGAGACAAGGCTATAGGCTTGTGGTAGGCCATGTAGGGTGAAGGTATATAATAAAGCTTGATGGAAAAAAATGTCTTAAATAACTGCTCTACGACAACAAATATTGTCCTCTCAGTCTGAATGGTGACAGATAGCCACCCTGTCGCCCGTGGTTACAACCCATGGCTCTGGTATTTCCAGGGAATCTCAGGGGAGGTGAGTTGGGGCAGCAGGGGCAGAGGGGGACCGAATGAGGCTGTGCAAATGAGCAGCTAACCGGATGAGATAGACTCAGTGATGTGATGTGAAACACGGTTCACATCCACACATCCACAAGCCGGCACTGACCTTATCATGGACCCTTAGGAAATGGAAAAGTGCTCCTGAAGATTTAGCATCCAGACCTACTGTGTGAATTCCCAGCCAAACCATACATTCAGCCCATTGGCAACAGTGAGTCAGACTTACACTGGCAGCTGAATTTTATCTGAGAGACTCATTAACAGTCTGACCACAAATGTGTATTTGTTTTCCTGTGTGATGAAGACTGTGTTCATGGCAACATAGGTTTTGCAGATCTAGCGATGAAACACTTCAAATGTACTGAAATAGATCACAGAAGTCTAACACGCATAGTTATAACCCCACATAGGAATGTTGGTGTGGGGTGGGTAAGAAAGAAA